ATTTATATATATATATATATATATATATATATATATATATAGATATATATTCAACACGATGTCGTCGTTAAAAAGGCAAGAAACCAATTTGCATTTTATCATATGCTAGAAAATCCAATACAGACAAGCCCATGCAATCGCGTGAGTGCAGGGATTAAAATAAAACAACAACAAATGATAGGGACAACGACAAACTATACGTGCAAAACAAAAAAAAAAAAAAAAAAAAAAACAGAATGAAAACCAACGCTTGGTAATTGTTTCTGCTTTGAAATGTAGGGATAAGGTGCCATACCCAGATATTTACATAAAAACACTTTGTGTGGATCTGCCTGACGAACATAATTTGTTATTAAAATTCTAATAGTTTTCCTGCTCTCTTTTTTCCTTTTGCTTGTCACTTTGGTTAAACGTGTCGTTGGTGGTGGTCGGTGGTGGTCGGTTCTCGTATGTCATCATCATGCCACTTACCCTTTTATCGTTCTTATACCAAGTGAGAGTAGCCAGTGGATTACCACCCGATGAAACACATAACAATTTTTGTACGGAACCTGCTGGTATTATTTGTCCTTCCATATAACCGGATATAATAGGCGGTGAGGGTGGATCTAAGAGAAAGAGAATAAGAAACAAATATGCAATAAATATACAACAACAAGAAATTGAAAACAAATTATGTAATTTTGTAATATTTTTTTTTTTTTTTTTTTTTTTTTTAATGACCAGTTGTAGTGTTACTTATTATGTACAGCTCAGATATACAAATGGTTTAATTTATAGCAAGCGCACGTACTTTATTATATAAAAGTCTTTTGGGTAACAGAAAATAGTTGTTTAATAAATTATCTCCGTATTTACGGAAACATAGGATGTTGCGCTAACTATCATGGAATGCTTGAAACTTTAGAAAATAATTTGAATAATAGCCACGTATCTTCTATCGGGTGCGTACACCGCCGTCCCTCTGTGTTTTACATGACATGCTCGTTTAACAGTAGACGTTTCAGAGAATTAATTCTTTTCTAGATTTTCTTTGGATGTACGTGAATACAGAAAATGTTCTAACTGTGCTCGCTATAGCCTGTATATTGGGCAGATTTTTCTTATGTTATCAGAGCACTACGTTGGAAGAAGGAACGTTATGTTAACATAACGCATTAAAAGTGTTAAAAGCTTCTTGGTAGTAAAAATACTTCACAAACATGAGTTTATGAGATAAATAGCGTAAATGTCGCCAGAAAGGTCCACATATCGCAAATAATACAAAGCATGCGGCGTTCATCACTGATGAAAAAAACGTTTCTGAAGTCCACAAATATCCTACAGATCATATGAACGAAACATGATATGATCGGTGGGAAATGCGGTAACTGTCGCATCTTGTAACAAGGCTTATCAAAACGGACTGAACATGCGATGCCACCCTTCACTCTAGTCAGACGATAAAGTATTTATTAAAGAAACTATCGCTGAGGAACGCTGCGCGTTAGAGGGTTGTCAGCCTGGTAACGTCGGGACGGCCATCCAAGTCGGGCAGAGAATTTTTCCAGCACAGCATTTGGTATACAACAACCCTACCCGCTGTATGCACTAGATATCCCTCCTCGTTTACTGAGACTTCTTGTCTGCGTGTAAAAAGTGCCCGCCCGTCGAAACATGGATTCTGTTGCGGACTATGACAAAAGAAGGGATGTCAAATTGACTTTTTGGAATGCATCCTCTGCCAGAGAGGTGGGGAGAAGTAATAACTAGGCGCGGGCAATGCTTTCAGTACTCGAGCTAAAATCTTCTTCCGCACTCGAAAATCCTAATGCCTGGAAACGAAATATTTTTCATTTTTTTATGTATAGCTGATAACTGTTTTCCTAAAAAGTCCAAGTCGCGTATGATATGACAAGAAAGCGCTTCAATCAAAGCTAGAGTTTTTCTGCCAACCATCAATATTGCTTGCAAAAGTAAACTTAAAACGGTTATCATCACATATAACTTGTCGCTCGTAAAAGTTATCCGAAAAGCCTTAAATTCCAACTGGAACGTCACTAACAAAGTTAGGAATATCACTACCGCTTCCGGCGAATTTTCCTTATGCTGAGCCATATCAGCTTCTTGGGAAAATGGCGTGTAGACCTATTAGTCGAATCTGCATCTTCGGGGATTGACATTGCAATATACCAATGGTTGGTTAAGAACTGTACTCTCCCAACCTGGAGTTGTGGACAAAATCTTACGATTACCCGCATACCTTGTGAATACTAAAATGTTTCGAATATTTAATGATTGGTACTCGGAACTTCTAATCTTATGCATATATATATATATATATATATATATATATATATATGTTGAAAGTACCTAAAGAACTTTATAAGAACGACCTTACTAACCACTCTAAACTACTTTATCTTTAAAAAAACAAGTAAAAAAATGACCGTGGACCGTGACTGTCCCCTTAGGTTGCTAAAACGAGATCTCAAACTAAGGCATTGTATGGAAAGTGTTGGAAGAACTGATCCGACCCGAACCATTTTTAATTGCATTTGACGTTGGATTAAAACCCATAGGGGCACCAGAATCACATTCTCAATCGATCGGTATAATAAAAAGTGGGTCTATCTTGAATCCGCCTGGATGTTGTGTACATCATTTGCTAATGCTCATCCTACTTTTAATCTCAACATTTGTTGAACAATAATATTTTCGAAACATGTTTCTTCACAGGATTTAGATCTTTAGCGAATGCCCACTTTTAGCTCTTCTCCGAAAGTTTTGTTGTGATATCACAGCAGCCGATCATGAGTCTAGACACGGCATTGTTAACGTAAGCTAAATTTTATTTAATTATTTATTTAATTATTGTCTATATATTTTGTAAATAAAAGGACTGCCGGATAACTTAGATCGTATGCTCGCGAATGTTGAAAATTCTACTGCGCTTGAGATTTGAAATCGCGACAATTGAGTTGTTGGTCGCCATACTTTACCTACGCATCTACTAATACGGATTAGTTAAATATTGTTATATCTAAAGAACGTACACAAACACTAGCTATGTAACTAATGCTAGAGAAGCTGCAGTACGTGAACACGAGCCTCATTCCGAAATTAAGGAAAAGAATAACCTAATGAAACCATTCGGTATTTGAGAGAGTAGACGATAACAATAATAGGATCACGTTTCACTTAGATACCCTTAGCCATTTTTATTGGAGAAGTGCATTAGTTTGAGTTATGATTGAATTTTTGATTGGATTTTTTTCTATTTGCCGAATATTATTTAAATTTAATTTGTAATTAAATAACAATTTTTCACTTTCATAATTTTTTTTAACTAAAAGTCAAAGATTGAGTTTACTCGCGTTGTTTTTCCACTTATTTTGAACAACATGACGCTGTCATTTTAAAGAGTGGAAAGAATTTTTTAAACATACTGATGAATATTTCAACCTTTTTCATAAAGGCTTTGACATGCGTTTTCCTAGTATGAGGTAAGCAGAAGAAGAAAAATTAATGTTTCCTTTCGTAAAATTCATTTTTCATTTCTTTTGTTGGTTAATACAGTATGACCGTCGGCGTGCGTACGGAAAGGATAAATGTAATAAAAATGAAAATTATGACATATAAAAAAAGAAAAAGAAATTAAATTGCCCGAGTACCTTAATCACATTCACCAGTTTTATCTAACCCCGCCGTACTAAGAATAGTACTATAAAACCTTCAGTGGTCAGCGGAAATGTGAAACACAATTTGCCATAAAACGTTCAGTGCTTGACTAATAAAATGCTTATCAAATTTTACAAAACTCAAGCTGGTGGAAAAACGATACAAATATAACTGCGCTCTGCTCACAATTATGTTATGTTATATTTAATAGGAGTGCACGAGCAATACACATGCTATCCCATTTTCACTCATATCCCTATGCGCACCTATATCTATGGAAAATTTAATAAAAATTAAAAAATGCACACACCGTACATAATGGAAAGCGTATAAATGCTCTACGTTAGATGAAGCATATCCTTAAAGCAAAAAAAAAATAATAATAATAAAAAAATAAAACAAAAAAAAAAAAAATGATTACATCGCGATATTGCATCACATACTCAGCTAACTTATGAAATGATGAATAAAAACGAGTTGAAATTTTTTTTTTTCTGTTTTTTTTTTTGTTTTATCATTTACCAAAAATAATTAAAATTATTTTCACTTCTTGTATGTATAACGAAGCATAATTTTTTAAGCGCTCTTACTGTTTCAACTGAGATAAGATAGAAAAGCTTCATTTTACAACCAAAAATCTACCCCGCACTCAGAGAACCTCTGAAACATTTCTGTTAAGTTGAGTGCATTAGCAAGCCTTTAGTGCTTTAACCTGTTCAGCTGTTATGTCCTTTGCTTGTCAGGTATTTTGAAATTCATAACTCAGAAGTTGTGACACAACTGCTGTTACTGTTACTATTTTAACATACGGAAAATATCGTTTGTCAGAATTGTACGGTACGCACCTATTGCCAAACTTAACCGCTCTAATCACCTCTGTCAAAGTCAATGACACCGACATATGCGGTGGATGCGTGTGCGTGCATAAGCATACAAGATCTACAATGAAGTCACATACCTAACAATAAAGAGCACATATATACATACATAAGTCATTGAAAGTTGTTCTCAAAAATTTCGTCCTAAATTAAGAGTGACACGTTACAGAATAATTGTGTTAACGTACTTCGATTAATCTGGCCAAACTATCTGTCTTTCTGTATGTATGCATATAGCACATTTTTGTCTGTTTATGCGAACAACATGAGAACTTGTATGGAAAGAAATGTGAAGGAATACATATAAAGATAAATAATGTAGACCATACGCTTGCCAACTTGCGGCCCTTGGTTGCTTACTAACAGATCTCTGTCTAATCAATCAATGTACAGACGAGTAAAAGAAAATATATTTATAAGTTCAATTTGATTGGTGTCTCAAGACTCCATGACTAAACTTTAAACCGAATTGCTTCGCTCACCTACGTTGTAAATATTTACCCAATTAATAGGACATTAAACTAGAAACATTTATTATTTATCGTCAGTTGTACAATGCTTAAACTCGAGTTGTTCGTTGTTCCTTTTCATAAGATCGAAAGAAGTAAGATGTTCGGCTGGTTTCACCTGCATAACCCTCTAAATATAATCCATATTAAGCAAAATAGCTACGGCCGACCATTAACTAACCCACAGTTATTTGAAAGCCACCATATAACTAACCATACCAACATCTTCCTCCATCCTATAGTTATTCATATAACGAGTTTTCATTACAGGGGCAGTGGTACACAAAGTGGACCGATTCACACCATTTTCAACGGCAAAATTCAATCAAAATACCTCAAAATGTATGATCTGTAGGTTTGAACGCAACAATACATGACTAGACATCAGACAGTAAGACGAAGAGACAAGCTCGATCGGTATGATACAAGGTGGATCTATCTTAAGTCCTTGTGGGCGTTACATACATCCGAACAAAGTTGATAGACCTTGCACCACAACTGATGTAGGGTGTGATTAACTTATCTGATTTGGGCCAAATAGGTTCCAAGAGCTCCATTGAA